GTACATGGAATGTAATTATACTGGTCCCCAACACATCATCTTGGATATTTAAATGATACTAATACATACTTAGTGCTTTAATGTTGGTTTACGCTCCATAAAAATATCTGATTTAAATATCAGTGAAGTTTTTGAATTATTGTACTGCAATTTTTAAATGTATATTTAGAGTTGATTATTCTATGACAGCTTACTTTTCCATATCTTTACTTCTTCAAAGTATCATGCTAGCATGAAAATGGTGGTTGCAAAATATCTATTCATACAAACCACTCATCACTTTAGATTTGCAGGTTTCTCCCCAGTGTGCATTCTCTGATGTGCAGAGTGATTTGACTTCCGGTTAAACAGTTGCCACATTCTTCACATTTTGAACATTTCACTCTTATATGAATTCTCCGATGTTGAGCAAGTTTTGCCTTCTGCTTAAAGGCTTTGCTGAATTCTTCACATTTATAAGCTTTTTCTTTCACATTTGTATGAATTCAGTGACGATGAGTAAGACTTGACTGCTGGTTAAAGGCTTTCCCAAATTCTTCACATCTGTACGTTTTCTCAGCATTATGAACTCTCTGGTGTTCAGAAAGGTGACACAGGTAGAGAAAGGCTTTACCACAGTGTGGACATGTGTAAGCCTTTTCTCCAGTATGAATCCTTACATGTTTAGTGAGCTGTGGATGCCAACAAAAGGCTTTACCACACTCTTCACATTTGTGCCATTTCTCTCTCTGATGTTGAGTGAGTCTTGAGCACCATTTGTTAGTGTTGCCATATCCTTTACAGTTGCAGGGATTCTCCTGAAATGTGTGATGTTGGAGTAGTTTTGAGGACTCCTCAATATGATCCCATGTAGATTTTTTTATCTTCCCATTCGCATCTCTGATGTTGAGTACTATTTGACTCAAAGTATACACCTGTCCCATATTCACAATGTACTGAATGATTATTGCATGATGGACTATGGGACTGCCTATATTCTAACTGTCTTCTCAGAGAATATGTATTATTAAAAATCTGATAGAGATCTCTGCTTACAGAAACACCCTTATCTATGCAAGGAACAGACATAAAATGTGGCTTGACCCAAGACATTTCACACACATGATCTCTTCTTGTGGGAAGAGTTGTATTCTGGGTCATTGTTCCAGCTTGGCTATCTTCATTGCAACAAATGTTCTGCCCTTCAATGGATCTTTGGCGTGTCTGGTCTTCCACTAATTGTAAATTCTCAAAGGCACAGATTCCATCTCCTCCCAGTTCCATATCTGGAAGCAAATCTTCTGTGCCTGACTATGGCATGAGGACTTGGATGTCATGAGAAGAGATGACTGGAAGAAAGCAAGTGACTATTTACCACATTTACAGCACTCAAGACAAATACATTAAATGCATAGTCTATAAAATTAATATCAAGTAAAGGACATAGGCATGATGTTAGAATAGGTAACACTATGACTTTGCTCCTCCTATAAAGCCAAAAGATTCTAGACAGCAACACAAAAGTTTATGAAAAGGTACTGTCCTTAGGGAAAGGTAAATACAAAGAAAATATACAAAATTGCATGATACAGTCCTGTAGTAAAAATATTGATTCTGCTTGAGCATTTGGAAAGGCCACATCAAAAATACCCATGGAATTATGTTCTGGAATACACGATGTAGTGAGATGTTGTGATGGCAACAATGTTGGTGTAGGGTAGGAATGTTAAAGAGTTGAGTTTCGTGTGTGCAATTGAAATTACATTATTTTCAGTCTAAAAGGTTTCATAGCTTTTCAATATGGCACGTAATGCACATTATAACAATAAAGACACCAGGAGAACACATGGGAGGGAAATGAACACGGAGCATGATGTCCTGTGCACACAGGCTAGATGACAATACTGTACACAATAAATAGTATTATGAATCAATATACCTCACTAAGCATAAAAAATATGATGACATATTAGACAAAAATCACCAGACAAAAAAGGAGAAAGGAATAAAAGCATGTCACACAAAGTCAAAGAAACACAGAGACGCAATCGAGAGGAAATGAGGTATGAAAAAGGCTGATCATAAAGGAAACATTTTTAAATAACAATACCTGGGTCTCCCTTTCTGTAATTAGTTTGTTCATAAATGAAAAAAAAATTCCACACTGAAATGACAATGTGTCTGAATGAATAAGAAAACAACACCAATACAATCTTATCCATATCACACCCACCAAAGATTTAAGTGCACCATGAGGAATGGAAGATGGAACTATATGCTGGGAAAAGTGATAATCAAATATGGAGCTGTGTTGAACACACTAATATCAGAAGAATATAAACTGAGTCAAAACCATCACAGAATGTAAAGAAGATCACAACAATAGAAAATGACATATTTTGGGTAGTCATTAAAAATATTCCACATGCACTAACGTGAGGTCGCTGAATGTGTGCAGACCACACAGGCAGGACTGAATGCAGAAGAGGAAGACAATACAATTCTAGGAGAGGTTCCAGCCCCAACTGCGATTAGAAGGAAAATAATAATGTAAGTTCAAGAAGTTGAGTTGACCAATAGGGCCAAATTTAAATCTGAAAGCAAGATGCAGTTCACATACACGATAGAGTAGAGACAGCTAAGCTATAAAAAAGGATGAACTCAGGCTATTTGCAACAACAGGATGGAACATAGCAGGAGCATAGCTAATGTAGAAAATCAGGAGAAAGACATTTGCTGGATCGCTTCACTCCAATTTCAAATCTGGAGGAAAAAAGAAAGGAACCAACAAACCAGAACAAACTCTAGAAATATGACTGCAGAATTGTGGGTATTACAGAGGGATGGAGAGTGGGTGTGGGTACAGAGGTGGGAGGGTGTTCAAAGATCTATGGAGAAGGCCCACGAGTGCACTGGTGGTGAGTGTGGTGGTGGCAGACCTCTGAGAAGATGAAACTCTATTCCCTAAATCAAATGTTACCTCGATTCAAAAAATTAAAGAATATGTTGAAAATATGGAGATGAAACAAATTTCCCAAAAACTGTGGACTCAGAAAACGATAAGATGTAAATTTCAAGCACTGACACACTAACAATAACACGGATCTCAGCTGTTTAAATTAACTCCACAACTCAAGAAACTAGAAAAGGAACAATCTAAACTCTAAATTTCCACAAAGAAGGACATTTCAAAATAAAGAAGAAATACATAAACGTAACATGATGGCAAAAATGTTTGGGCTTCTCTATGAACAGAAGTCTGGAATTTGAAAAAAGCAATAAATTTAACAAAATGATAGTTCAATTCACTAGAAAGGAAAGGCAGAAGACCAAGAAAATCAGAAGTGAAACCCATAAAGATATTTCCTTAGTTTTTATGTCTCCTCGGCACTGGCTACAGTCATCTGTAGACGTTTTCAAAGGCATGTACTTCCCTTCATGGCAGGGAGAGACCTTTCTGTCAATTCTTATTTAAATGTTATATCACACACTGCTCAGAATGACAGCATATGCAGCAAACTCTGCCTCATCTTGTGTCCAACTTTCTCCTGCTCATCGAAGGGAAAAAAGTTCTGCATCCAGCCTGTGGTCGTCACTGTGAAAGGCTTTCTGCACATCCTTCTGACATCAACACTCCTTGGCTGCTACTGGAGTCACTGCAATACTTGGTACCTGTTTCTACGTAATTCATAGCAGCTGAAGTTTTTATCTAGTATGTTAGTTGTACTATATCATCCTTTCACTGATGCTTTTGCTTTCTTCCAGATGATTCCCACAAGAAGGTGGAATTGCACAGATCAAACTCCTCCCAAGGTATGAGCCCCCAACCTGAAACTCTTGGTTCCATGGCTTTAGAAACCACAACCTTAGGTTTCCCCTCCCATGTCAGAACATCCCTCCCTCACTGAATGATTTCTGGGTTCTCCTCAGCCTCACAAAGGCTGACTGAAATCCACTGCTGAGGGGAGCAGCAAAGACAGGAGAGGTCTGCCGTGCCATGTGTATAGCTCCCTGGCCGGTCGGGGATGGAACTCATGCTGCAGAGGCCACAGATAGCTTCACAGTGCTGTGCTTAACCCCTTGCACCACCAGGGAGGCCCACATTTTCCTTTCTCACAGCATATCACTTCAACAAAGCAAAGACCACTTCCGTGATTACTGTTCTTATCCCCACTCATAGATAATTTATCACTGTCAAAAACTTCCCATGAACATACTGAGTGAAAAAACAAATGTCTGGGGCCTCCCTGGTGGCGCAGTGGTTGAGCGCTGGGTTGCAAAGGTTCCCGCAGCCTCTGCAGCGCTGGTTCGATCCCCGGCTGCTACCCAGCCACCGGAGGAGGGTCCCACATGGCACGCAGACCTCTCCTGCTGCCCGCTGCTCCCCTCAGCAGTGTACTTCAGTCCTTCTGCCTGCTCTGCTCCCCGCTCTGGCTCTGAGAAATTCTCTCACCCTCCCGCACTTCTGACTGTACCCAGTGCTTGTATAAATAAATAAATTAATCAATTAAAAAATGCCTGAATAAGTACCTTAAAGAAAACAGTCTGTGAGAATAAACTAATAGAGAGAACACAGAAAATGTGACTACTGCAGAATAATTTCCTGCAGTATCAGGGACTGCATACTGGTGAAGTCCAACATTGACAACCATTAAAAAAAGAGCAGGAGTAAATCTAGGAGAGAGTTTATGTGGAAAGTGAATAAAGAATCACTTCGATAAATGCAGATAAACCGTCCAAGGTTTGGACACTGGAAAAGTAGTGCAGTGTGGCCACTCTCCCAGCCTCCTGCTAGTCTCCTGCCAGGCAAGCACTGACTGACCTGAGAGTTTCTGGCTTGGGGCTTCCTCCACAGTCCATGGCTTTACTCCCTTCTCCAACCTGATGCTCTCCTCAGGATTGGTAACAAATGTCCTGTGATGAGGAACAGTGTTGGTTCAGTCAAGTTAAACTTCAGTTTTGAAGACTAACGAAAGCAGTGTTAAGAGCTGTGCAACGAAGTTCAACTAGAACTTTTCAGAAATAGGGCAAACACCCACAATCTAGTCTGTTTGCCATGTTCAACCTCACCACCACCCAATTTCACAAGAAAGACCACACTTAATCAGTGTAGAAAACAGCACTTGCACTCGTGTTACACTGGAGCTTCCTCACAGAGGGACACCAGGTGACTGCAGGTCTCCAGCATCACATCCCGGTACAGGGTCCTCTGAGCATCATTCAGGTCTTCCCACTCCTGCCAGGGGAAGTTCACAGCCACATCCTCCAATGACACCATCTCCTGTGAGGGAACATTTCTCCTCATTTCAGGGCCGTCAGCCTGGGTCACACAGCAACAGTGTAAACACTCCTTCTTGTGCTCTTGTACAGGAGGCACCATCTTCCTACTCACACTGTGCTGTGAACAGAATTCTCAGGGGAAATAGTCTTACCTCTAGATTAACCCATTTGCTCCTAAAAGAACCACAATAGTTTACCATACAAATTTGGAAGTGTCTTTGAGTCTATGAATACAAGGATGAATAAAATCTTCTCCTTGAAGAGCTTATCACCTGGTTGGCAGGTAGAATAACACATACGTGGAATAACATGCTACGTAGCGGTGTGAAAAGCCTGCTGAATGCAGACACGGTACAAAAGAAGAAAAACCAACACTTTGTAGTGTTGGGTTACACGTCACTGAAGACCCAAACGCTTAGCTCTTCCTTGTAAATCACACTGTCATGAGGATGAGACAACAGCAGATGTGACAGAGTGAAAAAAAAAAAAACACTCGCCATGATAACTGACCTGCAGAGAGCACGCTGCCAGGCAGAGTCCCCAGCAGGAAGGCAGGAGAGACAGTGAAAGTATTCTGGAACTGAAGTCAGTCAGCTTTTATGAACTGTGGGACATGTGAGCTGAATTCACCAGAATAGAAGGATATGTGGGGTCTCCCTGGTGGCGCAAGGAGTGAAGCACCTCAGATCTGCCTTTTCTGCTCCCCACTCTGTCTCTGATGAGTCCTCTCACCCCCGCACCTCTGGCCTGTACCCACCTCTTATATTCATACATAAATAAAAACGAATCTTTTAAATAAATCAAGCTTGAAGGGGAGTTAGGTATTTGGGGGAAATATACTCACTGGGCAGCAGGCTGAGCCACACAGCAGGACTGGAGCAGACAGGCCCAGCACAGGAAGGTGAGGGGCCAACGGCCTCCCCTCTTCACCAGGTGAGTATCATGGAGGACGAAAAAGACAGGGGGAGTTGATAGGTAAATTTCCATCTGGTAATTACCAAGAGGCTGAGCTGCCCAGCACGTGCATTAATCGGATGCAGGGGTGTGAGCCTGTGTGGACCCTGGGGAGGACACTCGCGGCTCTACAGGCACCTCTGTGACAGGAGGATTACATTTACTGGGCGCTCCTGGGAGTCAGACGGAGGGGCTCCGACAGGCGGGTGGAGGTTGCCCTTTTGTGAGACTCATTTCCACGAATAAGAGAACATCCCCGTGAGGAGGCGTCCAGGTTCTCACGTTGGAAGGATTTGTCCAAATCTCTCCATCCCTTATCAGAGGGAGAGGCGGCCCCTTAGGACCGCACCACTCGCACCCTTGTAGCTGGGCTTCCCACTGCCCCCCAGGGCTGACCCCCATCCTCTGTCCTTTCTCTGGAGTTGAAGATGTCATTGCACAGGGGGCAGAGACCATGTTGGTGGGTCACTCAGTGTTCCTGGGTCTTCCCCAGGTGAGCGAGGAGGTGTCCACGTGTACTCAAGTGTATTTTCTCCCACTGATGCCCTTTATTCCAGGAAGGTCTCCATGGAGAACCGCAGGGTAGATGAGATGACGTTTCCTCCCAGGATCCCGGCGCAGACCCAGAGGAGTATACAGAAGGGGAGACAGGAGGTGCTTCAGGACAAACCCGAAGGGAAGGGTTGACCCAGGTGGGGAGTCCTCAGCACGTGCTGGGGAATCCAGGGCGAGGCCCCCCAATGAGCAGAGAGAAAAGGGACCTTAAAGGCATTACCCCAGGAGCGAGAGGAGGGAAAGCCGAGGGAGACAAGGAAAGGGAAGACGCGCGGCAGCAGCAGGTGGCAGTGTTGGGGCAGACCCAGAGGCACCCTGAGACCCCAGACCCTGCGCACCCTCCACTGGCACTGCCATCTGTTGCGTGCGGAGCAAACACCCCCTCACGTGAAAGCCCTGCTGTGGAAAACAACAGGGTTGGGGTGCAAGGGAGAGGAGAAAGGACAGGGTTAAACAGTTTCCAAGGAACCAAAGCCTCCCGGGCCTGCAGGGTCAGTCCCATGACCCCCACAGTGATGACCCCAGCTTTGGGCACCGCCTGCGGCATCCTCTCTGCAAGTCCCCCCTCCAGGGGCTGTGGGGGAAGCGGACACACCTGACCTGCCCTCAGGCTCCTGAATTTTCGGGGACTTGCTGTCGGGGTCTCCGCCATCTCGCATGTCTGTCCTGGAACGGACCTGCCCCAACAAGGGGCCTGAGCCACGAGGGGTCTCTGTCCCCCCCCGGCCTCTTTCATTCCTGCCCATGCTGCAGTGATCCCCAGACCCACTGTGGGGACATCCCTGGGGCAAACACCTGCCCAAGAGGGCGGCTTCTGCACGGGAGTCTCCAGCTGGCCAGGGATGTCCACGGGAAAGCGGAAGGGGAGACCCCAGCAGGTGGCACCTCCGTGCACCCCTCCACCTGCAAGGGAGCAGAATAGCCCCCCCACATGCCGCTGTGGCCCTAGATTCAGTGCAGGACAGGCCCTTGAGAAAAAGCTGGGTCAAGAACACCGACTCCCACACCCCTGAAAGCAGGAGCTGAATCTCCCCTGCCCGGGGCTGCCCCAGGGAGAGGGGAGCTCACAGGGGTCTGCAGGTCCGTCTCCCCTGCCCGGAGCTGGCGCCCCCGACCTTCCCCGGTTGCTGTCCCCCCAGAGCCTGCCCTGCCCCAAGGGTGGCGCCCACTGTGGTCCAAGGACCCACCCGGAGTCTGCTCGTCTCTCCCTGGAGAAGAGATGTGTGTGGGGACGGGACACCTGACGCCCCCCACTATTCGAAATTCCTTCCCGGTTCGTGCACATCACAGGGTTGGGTGGAGGCTCCTCTGCACTTACCCATCAATTTCTCTCCCACAGGATTTTCTTCTAACGCCGCTGGGAGCAGCACTTGGAGCCCCCGCCATCTTCTGGCCAAGACAGAGAGAAGCTGTTTAAACAATGAGAGCGAAGGATTGACATTTTTCCAGTTAGCAGAAGTTACCGAACAGCTCTGAAGACCCATTGCTCCTCCCCACTGAACGAAGGTTTGCCCCGGTTGCCTGGCTGCTGCATGCAAGGTGGGTGAACTGCAGCGTGCCCTCAGCGAAGCGTCACCGGGCAGTGGGGCTCAAAGGGCAGACTGAATTTTCAGGGCACCCCTTCCTGCCCCCAGGGCTCTGATGGAAACTGTTTTTGAGCCACAGATCTTGGAAACAGCGAGAAGGATGGGACCAAGGCCAACGTCGGAAAACGTCTTTAAAAATCTTTTTATGGGGCCTCCCTGGTGGCGCAGGCGGTTGAGGGCCGCACCATGAAGTAATCTGCAGCCTCTGCAGCACGGGTTCAATCCCTGCAAGTCAGGGAGAAACCCACATGGTGCAGCAGACCTCTCCTGTCTCGTCCGCTGCTCCCCTCAGCAGTGTATTTCAGTCAATCTGCTGTTCTGTTCCCCACTCTCTCTGGTGGATCCTCTCACCCCCTGCATCTCTGGCCTGTACCTCAGCTCATGTATGCATAAATAAATATTTAAAAAATCATTTTATGGCGCCTCCCTGGTGGGGCAAGGGGTTGGGACGCAGGCTATGGGGCTGTCCACGGCCACTGCAGCGCAGGTTGGATCCCCGGCCAGGGAGATACCCAGGTGTACAGCAGACCTCTCCTGTCTCCCCGATGCTCCCCTCAGCAGTGTATTTCAGTCAGTCTGCCTGTTCTGCTCCCCGCTCTGTCTCCGGTGAATCCTCTCACCCTCCCAAGCATCTGGCCTGTACCCCAGTTCTTGTATAAAAATAAATAAATCTTTAAAGAATAAACAAATAGATAAATAAATAAATAAAAAGGTGGACTGCGGTCCTCACTCTAACTTGACTTTAAATCTCACCCAACTTTCCTGAGAGTCTGACTAGCCTCCCAGTGATCATGCTCACAACACTGTCCCTAACTAAACTAAGAAACTAGTAGTTTTCACTGGCCTTGCGACTCTGCACACACAGCAAGCCAACCCTCCTGCAGAGTTCCTGGCAATGTGCCTTACTCCAGCATTTCAGGGCTCCCCGGGTGGGTGTTGCCCTAACTAGGGACACACGGGATTTAGAACAGCTCCTCTGCTAGGAACAAATATCCCACCGACATTCTTTTTAGTCTAACAGCACTCTAAAAATGGGTCGCTTCCCTGGTGAAATGTACTCTCATGTCACAACCCCAAAACTTGCTAGCTATTTTACTACTGCTCCTCTTGTTACTAAGCCTACCACTCAGCGGCTGTCCCCAATGACTTTGCTACAGGGCAGGGAGAGGGGCAGCCCAGACCCCGCAAACCTGCCTGCTCTAAACAGGTTCTGCCATCCTGCTTCCTTCCTTCCTCAGTCTCCTCTGCAGCTTCTTCTCTCCCTGCTCAGCTCCACCCTCCCTTGGGTGGGGCAGGGAACCTGGAACCTCCCCCTTTCCTGGGGACCCCCGTTACAACTTCACCTTTGACCGAGGGCCCTTAGCTGCTGCTGTACTTCTCATTCTCCTCTTTAAATCTTAACATACACAATCTCCTACTCAAATTTGTTTCTTCTAACCTAGGGGGAGCGCCTCAAGTTTAAACTCCTCTTCCCAACAAACAGCTCACCCGTACAAGAGGAACAGCCTGTCCAGATGCCCCACCCTTGCACTCCAGATGCCCCCCTCACCTCCTTCCAGAACCACCAACAGACAGCTCAGGGACTCGTGTCAGGGAGACCATCTCCCGGGCCCTTGGAGGTAGGGCCAGCTCTACATGCCACTCCAGCAGGAAGCAGCTACGGAAAATGGACCTCCTCCCTTCAACTCCCCAAAAGATTTTGGGCTGGATATGGTCATGGGGGGATGATGGAGGACAAGAATGGAAAGACTGGAAAGGACGTGCCCCAAGGCCAAAACCTGACTCACACAAGGAGGTGGGGGTCGAGGAAATGCACATGACCATTAACCCAGCTGTGGAGGACGGACCCTCAGGCGCCAGCGCCTTGTCACGAGGCAGGAGAGGCGAGCAGGATCCGATGCTCTAGGGAGTGGGGCACAGGCCTGAGAGGAAGGATGTGGAGACGGGGCCCACCCCGGAATCTCTGGTCCCTTTCTAGTGCTGCCTGTTGCCCAACATCCGCAACAAGCAGCCGCTCCATGGAGGAGTGAGCCTCCCAAGGAGAAAGGGACTGTGGCAGGGCAGGCTCCGCACAGGCCCGGGGCAACCGTCCCCCTGCCCGCCCGTGACCACACAGGAGCCTCTTCTCACCAGCTCTCGCCTCTGTGGGGCAGCAGCCTCCTGGCTGGTGGCCTGTACCTGCCAGGACGTCTCCACTGATCTCCCTCAGCGGAGGCCGCTCTCCTCAAGGCCGCCCGCCTGCAACCGTGCAGGCCTCTCTCAGCAAACCTGTCCCCTTCCCTTTCCCTGAGAAACCAGCCCTTTAAACACAACTAACATCTCCGTCTCATGGAGAAGCGACCTGGGAAACTCCCGGGTGCTGCTGAAACAGGGTCTGGGGAAACATTTCCCAGAGTGAACCCCAGGACCTCGCACTCCAAAAACCCCATCACCCCCACTCTATTCCCCCGAGGCCCACGGAAAAAACCCGCAGTTCTGGAAGGACACTAGGAAAGATCTCTGGCGCCACCTAGTGCCCAGAACAAAATCACCACCTTCCTGATAGTGGGAAGCCAGGGATCCCAAAACCACCTCAGGCGCTGAGAGGGGCTGGGCCAAGCCAACGGGTAAGAAGAGAATCCAGGCCAGTCAACTGTAAAAGCAAAACCAATCATGAGAGCTGAAAATACATGTGGTTCTGCTGGCAGGACAATCACAGACACTGCTACTACAACTGTAATTTGATGCCACCATTAAATAAAATGCCAAATTTCAGTTAGAATTAGGGAAAATCAAGATGCATTTTACCTCTTCCTGATTCCATACTCCCGTCTAATTGAAGGATAAAGGGCTGAGTTCAGTGAACAGGGAGTGTTCAAGGTGGGGAATCTGACAGGTTGGAGACCAATTCCAGCTAGATGTCGTGTCAGGGATCTCAGCAGGAGAGGACCGCCTTGGTGAAGTTTTTCGGAGGGCTGAGGGGAAGTGGAGCCAGGTAGGAGAGAGGAAGACACAGACACCGTCTCTCGTGCAAGTATCTCCTCCTGAGGGTCTCAGCAGGTCTTTTTTTATACCTTAAGGCCAGTGTGAGATGATATCAGTATAAGCATCAAAGCAGAACAGAGACAATCATTACATATTTTCTCATGAACATACAAAGACCCTCTTGATCTCATACTACAAAAGGACACTTCCTTAATCTGATTAAGAAAATCTACAGGGAAATGACTCCCTTAGGTACAACTCTTTTCTAATGTAATCCATTGTCTCACACAGTAAAATGTTTGTAAGATATTGAAGGACTAAACATAGCAAGACAGCAGCCATTTTAAGGAAAATGACCGTCTTAAAGAGCACAGCTGTCCGTTGCAGGGTAAAACCACGAGAACCACAAGGCAAGGGCGAAAACTTAAAGTTGCCAAAGAAAGGTACACAATCAGATTGAACTTGGTCCCTGTGTGAAAGGTCCCTTTTTATGGTATGAAAGGTCCCTTTTTCTGCTGTCAACAGTGTATAAAAAACAGCTTTTCACCCTTAACGGGGTCCCTCTCTCAACCTGATGAGACTGCTGTGTCAGTACACCAGGCAGATTCGGACCCTAGCTTAATAGCAATAAAGCCTTTTGCTTTTGCATCTCTGGCTCCATGTAGTTTTTGGGAACCCAGACGGAGTTGAGGCGCCAACTCCTAACATGTTCAGTAACAATCAATCACCCTGTCAAGCCTTCCTAATTTCCCAGTGGACATGAAAGTCCATTGTTATGCTATATTACTAAAATCAACCCATTCCCTAGTACTCAATTCCTCTAGCCCATTATCAATTACTTCAAAGTGATCTAAAGTAACTCATCAATACTGTTTAGTTCTACAGAAATCTAACTTTCAACTAGAAATACCGAACCTCCACACAACCTGCACACTGTTAATTTTTGTTTACATACACCAGGAGATGTACTGTTGCCGCAAACAGGTACCCACCAGGTTAGGCTATGGTTTCCAAGCACAGCTGGTTCAGGGCAGCTTGTTCTCCATAGTTCTCGGGGCCAAAACATTTCTTTCCTAACTATATCTTTAACAATTTTTACTTCCTTTGTGACAGTTCATGCGAAAGAACAATAAGCCAATTGTCACCTGGGTCCGAATTAGGTTTTCACAGGCCAATGAATAACTAACTTACTTCAGCATTAACTAGGAACAAAGAGGAGAGCTTCAGCAGGCTTTGCCATGGAGACTCCCTAGTTCAGATCTTCTTTGGGA